GGCAAGACATGGCTTGCCTCTAAGTGCCCTTTGAACCCGAGAGAAGTGTGCATCAGCCTGTATTTCTCTCAGGAGCTGAAGAGTCTGCTAACCCTTCTCTCCCCCTTGCCCTTCTGAACCCACAGGTTGTCAAGAAGTAAAAGTGGTGGCTGCTGTTGGGGAGACGGTTCAGCTGCAGCCCAACACATGGCCATTGTCCTGGGTGGCAATCAACTGGAAAGTGAAACTCGGTTCACAGACCTACTGGATCCTTGGACATAATCAGAAAAGGACCTCGGGCAGTCCGTTTCTGCACTTTGCAGACAAAGTCTCTTTCCACCCTGGAAATCTCTCGCTGCAGATTAACTCGGTCACGGAGAAAGAAAGTGGCCTATACATCATGGACCTGAAGCTGGGGGATGGCTCTGGAATCACCAATAATTTTCGTCTGTTTGTGCTTGGTGAGTTTGGGGGTGCCGCTTTCCCCCCGCGCTCACGCCCGGGGCACCCAGCCCCTCTCACTGGGACTTCTTCTTCCAGACCATGTCCGGCCCAGCAGCCCAGCATCAAGGCATCTACTTCCCAAGAGCGTGGACAATGCTACCTTACCCTGTCCTGCTTGGTGCCCAAAGCTGACTGGGTCACCTACAGCTGGTCTCGAGGCATATCTTCACACCCAGCCCCAGAGGACCATTGGCTCCAAGAGCATCAAGCCGATCTGCAGCTGGAGATCACTAAAAGCGGCAACAACACCTTCTATCACTGCAATGTCAGCAATGCCATCAGCTGGGGCATGGCCACCATCGATGTCAAACCGCTGTGCAACTACACAAGTAAGTGCCCCCTTTGCACCAGACATACGAGGGGGGCCAGGGATGTTTAGCATCTTCCTGGGTCCTGCGGAGCTGGTTCGTGAGCCTGGCCTGAATGAAACCAGAGGATGGGGCCTAGCATCCCTGAGGATGCTCTAGCTGCTCCAACCTCCATCTTGGTCTGGCTCATCCAAGAGCCTGGCAGACTGGTGGGGCTGGGTCTCAGGCCTTGGGGCCCTGTTCCTCCTCCTGCTCCTGGCAGCAGGCAGAGCCCCAGGCTGTGCAGGCAGGGGTGACTGGGGCTGGGAAAGGCAATGCCTGTGTACACGTGGATAAAGCACCGCTGGAGGACTCTGCTAACCCTTCTCTGCCCCTTGCACTTCTGAACCCCCAGGTTGTCAAGAAATAAAAGTGACGGTGATGGCTGCTGTTGCGGAGATGGTTCAGCTGCAGCCCAACACATGGCCGTCGTCCTGGGTGGCAATCGACTGGAAAGTGAAGCTGGGTTCACAGACCTACTGGATCCTCAGGCACGATGATGGCACCTTGACCAGTCCATTTCTGCCCTTTGCTGACAGAGTCTCTTTCCACCCTGGGAATCTCTCGTTGCAGATTAACTCGGTCACGGAGAAAGAAAGTGGCCTCTACACCATGGACCTGAAGCTGGGGGATGGCTCCGGAATAACCAAAAATTTTCAGCTGTTTGTGCTTGGTGAGTTTG